AATTCTAAGTTTCTATACTTTAACCTAGACCCTTCTATCTTTACTTCTAACTTATAAAAGTGATATTCTCTCTCTAGGGTAATTCTTACAGGCAAGGTTGTCACTATGTGTTTATTTAATAAAAGTTAATCTATATATTGTTATTATCTTGAACTGTTTGCCTACTGCTATGTAGTAAAGTGAACTATTACATCTCCACCCCATATATATTTGCAATAGTTAATCACTATATCAAGTGATTTTGTTACTTGGTTGTATTGTACCAAGAAGGCTGCAACCTTGTAACAATATCTTTTAAAAAAATAAACAAATAAATTGAATAATAAGTATATATAAAAAAACATAAGTATCAACTAAATTACTAAAAACTTATTAGAAAAAAGATACAAAAATATATTAAAAATCTAATTATAGATTTACTAGATTATTTAAATTGGTAGTTTAAAAAATTTTGTTAGTTTTAAATAAGAAGACTAGTAAAAGATAATGAAAAAAATATTAAAAAGATAGTTATTAGAATTCTAGTAAACTTTATAAAAGTAAAAATAATGTAATATAATAAATTTAATAAAATATTTATAATTGCAAATATTAATCTAACTATAATATATTACAAAAAATTAGATTAACTATATATAAAATACAAAAGATTTTAATAATTTTTTTGCTAAAAATAAAATAGTTCTAAGAGTATCAATATTTATTAAATACTTTAAATAAGTTTAAATTTGAAAATATTCTTATAATATAAGATAAATTATATATATAAAAAGTTTAAATATACAAAACTTATAATTAAATTGCAAATATAACATCTAATATAGAATCTGTATAGTAATATAAGATAAATTATATATACAAAGAGTTTAAATAAGCAAAACCTATAGTTAACTTGCAGATATAACATCTAATATAGACCTGTATAATAATATATAGACAAACTATTTAAATTATATACCAAAAATACACATGTAACTAGTTGTAACCTTTTATATAAAAAAATCTCTAAAGACATTCATGTCTATATAACTTGAATAAAAACATTATTTTTTAAAGACAGAAACTTTAATCTTAAAAAAAATACAATTAACCTTCTTGAAATTGATATGCATAATAGACAGGTTTTATATTAGCTTTAAAAGATTATTGGATTAAAAACATAGCAAATTATCAGATTTATATAACAGAAATGATCTTGGTAAATTAGTTTTTTATCAGATTTGATAGGTTATTAGCTTTGACAGAATTACATTTAAAAGAATCAACTGTATATCTACAGTTGATCTCTTAAACCTGATCCTGTCAAAGCTAATAACTTGTCAAATCTGATAAAAAATTAATTTACCAAGATCATTTTTGTTATATAAATTTAATAATTTGCTATGTTTTCAAATCCAATAACCTCTTAAAGCTAATACAAAACCTGTCTACCATGCATACCAATTCTGAGAAGGTTGACTATATAAATAAGTAAATTCTTATAGAATTTTCATAAGATCATTATGGCTAGGTACTGGGAAAAGGGCCGAAAATGACAATTTTTTAAAAAAGTTTTTTTTTACATAAATCAAATTAGAATTAAATTAGAATCATTTTTTTACTTAAGATAATTTTTACTAGTATTCGTTCAATAAGTAATACAGTTGACCCTCTCCTGTCAAAACCATTACTGCGGGACCGATTAACATCCCAACTGTGCAAAAAGCTGATCTGTGAGACATGACTTTCTAAATGAACAGGATAGATAATCATTTGACTGATCATTTGACTAATATCCAAATACAGTATTTCATTTTATATGTGGCAAAGCATATTTAATCATGTGATAGATAATGTTCATGCCGATGTAATCTTATCCTAAAAGATATCGATATATAACGATAAAGCGTGCTTGTGTGAAACACTATTTAAGTAGATTTCTTACATAAATGGCATAAATGGATTCTCAAAATCCTCGATCCTTTATTTTTTTTTAAAAAAATCTTTTACATATTTTCCATTAATTGAAGACAAGTAGTAGAAAATGTCAGAGGTTGGTAGTCTTTCAAATCTTTTAATTAAGCCATACTAATTTTAATGCTAATGATAAATGCATGTTATCCAATTTTAACCTTGTAAATCATTTCAAACAAGCAGATAAAAATCCCTTCGATCTCAATCTCCGCTCTTTCAAAATATCATCAATTTGATTGTGATAAACTATTACGAAATATTTTGGATGAAGATAGTGAAAGAAGACAATCTGTAAATAGTGGCGAAAAAAAGGGTCAAAAACTAAAAGTTGATAATTCAACATTACGCGAGGCTGTGAAAAGTCGAGGTGGTGATTTTGAAACAAAGGTTGTAGAGGATTTGGAAAAAAGATTGAAAGTAATAGACTGCACTTCATATGATCTATCCAAAGCGCTCATAACTTTACAAAATGCTCAAGTAGGAGAGGTTCTATATCAATTAAAGTTAGATGTGCCAGATGACTTATACGATCATTTGAAGATCAAGAACATTGTTAGGCTAAAGTCTTTTATCCCAGATTTCATCGAAATTGTTGAAGAAAATGGTAAAAAGCATTTAGTGATTTGGGATGCAAAATCGTCAAAAGGAACGCGTGCTTCACATCAAGTAAATCTCTTTAATAATTTGTGCTATTTTAATATGTTTTTAGTTTAAATTTTGAGCTACTTAACCTCCTTTATCCGGTTTTTTCAAGTTCCAAGTTGCTGCGTACGCGTATCTTTTAAAGCATGTTACCAAAGACATGCCTGATATTTCGATTTCTAAAACTGGCGGAATATTTTTACCAAAAAAAGGTGGTGTAGAACGCCAAACGTTTCGTACAGATTTCTTACTTTCAAAGATTGAAAAATTTTTAAGCACGGATCTTCCAGAAATAGCAACCGCATCGGAGGTGTCATGGCACTATAATTCTCGATGTAAAACTTGTGAATTTGTGGATGAATGTCGTAGTGATGCAAAAGGTTCAATGTCCATGATACCATATTTATCCACGGACAATGCGAATGATCTAAAACTGTTTGTTCAGAATACGTGGATTAAAGAAAAAAAGAATAAAAAAGACACGATGATTGAAGATTTGGAAAATATGTTTACCATTGATGATAATGAATTAAGCGAACATGTTAAAAAACTTATTAATATAACTCCAAATGATTACTTATCTAATCCAAAAATGCTACCATTGATTATTAAAGACGACGATAATCGTCAAATAGATATTGAAGATTTGGCTGATGACTTTACTAAACTCAAAATAAATATTGAAGATTTGGCTGATTGTATTGATAAACTTAGTATTGATGACGAGATAGTAACAGTAAATGATAGTACGGTTAATCGAAAAATAAAACAGATTATTAAATATGATAAGGATCGCAAGAAATCACCGTATATTGATGCGTTTGAAACAGAAAAAGCCCAGGTAATAAATCCATAAATATTTTAATTACCCACCGAGCGAAGTTCTGTTTATTTAATTAATGTTTTTAATTAATGTTTTTATAGTTTATTGGTACACCAACAGCAAGCTTTCCTCAAAAAACTGATCATAATCTTGTAATTACGATGTCTTTAGATCCTTTTGTCCTACTTCCTTTTAGTTGGGCTATCTGTCTTTATACTAGTGATGGAAAAGTCATAAAAAAATTTCAATACGCTGAATCTATTTCCAGATATAAAGATGATGATAATCAATCAGTATTTGTCTCATTGATGGATAAATTTGTGACTCGTTTAACAAAGATATTCGAGTTTCTCTCCCAGAAAAGGTCTCGAGCCTGTATATTCGTTTATTCTGAACCGGAAAAGGTTATGATTCAAGAATCATTGCTTAAAATAATTCGTCTTGATGGTATTTCGGAAGCAATTCAACATACAACGACGCGTTGTCTCTATAACTTATTTGAAGACTGTTCTCTCTTGTTAGCCGTTGGAAGTGATAGTGATAATAATTCAGAAATTCCTGGCGAGTGGAGAGAATTCCCAAGACTTGTTATTCTAGAACAATCTTTGAGTGAGAACATTGCAATTTGCGTTCCCGGTTTTTACCGGTTTATTGATATTTGGGAGCAAATGGTAAAACCTACTTTGGAAGACAAACAAGAGTTGCTGATCACTTTGGAACCCGAAATCTCCAAAATTGATCTTGAAGATATCTATGCAACATGGATATCTGAAAATATGAGCGAGGATGAAATTAGCAAATCTCATTTGTTTAGAGCAGAATTCGTTAATGCTGTCATTCAAGCTTATTATACTCTTGTTAATAAGTCAACGGATGATATCGCATCCAAGTTGTTATTTTCGCCACCGACATTTGTTTTTTCAGAAATTCGATCTTTCTTTCACAATTATTTAGGAAAGTTACATTTCTTTAAACAATTTGAAGCTGCCATAACATATTCTCGAACTAAAGCAATTCGATTAAAAGATTTTTCTCAAAGTGAAACTAAAAATGGACTTCGTGTGAAGATAGATAAGTTTATTAAAAAAGAAGATGGGCATGAATGGACAGTTCGGTTTATTGTTATAAACTGTGATAACGAATTTCATGTACTTGAACCATCACCTATTAAAGAATTCATCTTAGTTGACGATACTCCAGAGGTATGTCAATATATATGTATTTATTATGAATGAAGTTTTCGTAATAATCGAAATTGCAATTTATAAATCTTTAGGGAATTCTTGAAGCTATCCGTTTCTCTGATATGAAATATAAAGATAAATTATTTGGGTACCCACTCCTAGTTCTCTCACTTGTATCGATCGATGATAGCGATCCTACACGTAGAGTGATCCAATTAAAGGGAAAATTTAGTAACAAAAATATTAATGTAGGCAGTATATATCGTCTATATAAAAGATATATAGATTTTAATACAGATAAGATCTTGAATATGCTCGTAGAAATTGATGAACAACAAAGTTCTGTATTCCTAGTAAGTGGAAAACTCTTTATCTTGATAAAAGTGGTTAAACATTATACTATTTATGAAATTAAAATACTAGGACATCTTAAGAGATCCTAATGCGTGGGGATCTTCTCAATCCGAAGAACATTTCTATCCAAAGGAATTAGAAGATACTGCTTTGGGACTTCTAGATTCTTTTTCTATGTCTCCATCTCAGAAAGAAATTGCAGCAGTGATATTGAAAAAAAGACTACAAATTGTTTGGGGTCCACCAGTAAGTATAATAAGTGTTGAAAAATTTATCTTTGTTTTTTGAGGAATTAAATCATAATATTTAATCATATATTTATATTATTAATACTTTTTCTTTCACGTTACTTTTTAATACTGGATATAACTATTTGCAATCAAGGGATCTGGAAAAACACATTTCCTTGCATTGTTTGTTACATGGTATCTGTCTACATTTAAACCTCAACCTACAGAAAACAAAAATTTTATGATCGGGGTTACAGCATTCACCAGATCTGCAATCGATAACCTGTTGGATCGTATTGCTAATGTGCGAAAAGAAAGAAATAAAACAAGCGATTTTACAATAGTTCGAACGGTTAAAGAGTTCAAAAACCCTATTGATGGTGTAAACGATTGCAAGGCTGAGACATTGCCCAGAAAAATTTCGGGTGGTAAGCTTGGTATTCCTGGTAAACCTATCGTCGTAGGAGGAACAGTATGGGATTGGCACAAGATCCGCAAAGAATGGAAAAGCGGACAATGGACAGGTTGTAATATTATGATTATTGATGAAGGATCACAGGTAACATGAATGTAAAAATAGAATTATTCTTGTCTTTGATTTCACTTAGTAATACAATCGATGCATATATTCATTTTCTATTACGTATAAACGTCATTTTAAAAGCTTCTGGTTTCAGATGCCAGTATCGCACTAGAATGTTTGAATCCGACTAGTGGAAAATTAATTATTGCCGGAGACCATATGGTAAATATTGTTTATGCGGTTGTTCCCAGTTGTTCAAAAACCAATATAAAATGAATGTATCATTTTGTAGCAACTTGGACCTATTATTCAGAATACGTATCCCATTTATGGAGATAACCATCCACTTATTTTCGGATCTATTCAACAATGTTTGATGAGAAGGGAAGACGGTTTTACATTTAATGGAGACTATTCATTCCTTGAAAAAGGACAAAAACATGTTTTTGGTCCATGCACACTTCAACTTAGAGATAATTGGCGAATGGTGAGCATATCTTTGTATTTCGGTTATGTAGTTATATGAATTGTCTTAAATTTATCAATTTTTATTTTATAGAATGAAGAACTAAATAATTTCTTCCAAAACATATATGGCGATGATTACACTTCGAAACAACCTTCTTTGAAATTGAATATCGAAGACGATAAATTGCAGCACGTAGATAATCCAGATATAAGAAAAATTTTATCTCCTGAAACAGCAATAAGTTTAGTAAAGTTATCGTTAAAAAATAATGACAAAGACAAATCACAATCTACCATATCTGGATTACTTTCAGAAAGAGTTTTGCACGCAGAAGCAGATATTGTAGCCCAAATAGTGAAAGCATATTTTGATTCACTTAGTAAAACCAATTCACAGTCACGTAAACCATCATTATTTATTGTCACACCGCATCATCGGCAACGGCAAGTCGTCCAATCTCGACTTGTTGAATATACATCTAACCCTGAATATAATTTAAAAATAAACACTGTTGAAAAAATGCAAGGTCAAGAAGCGGACCTTGTTATTGCATGCTTCGTGTTTCTCGATCAGAATGAAATTGTTCGAGAATCTGATTTCCTATTCGATCGAAATCGTTGGAATGTGGCTATAAGTAGAGCAAGGTATGTATAAATATCATTAATAAGCGCAGTATCATAAGACAGTACTTAATGGCTTGTGTGGACCGTTTATCACAAGTTATCACAAGTTTAGTGCGAACGTACTCAAAATTAACAATTGTATTACGCTTTCTTATCACATATTTGTAGGTGTAAAATTGTATTATTAACTACACATGAAATGTTATATCCAAAAAGTTCGTATAATTTCTTATAATATTACATATTTTGCACTATAAACTTATATAATGTTTTTTCAAAGGTATGGAAATATTCTTCCAAAAAAGATCTTCAGAAGGTTGGGTATACCTTTCTATGATAGAATCTTGGGTTAAAAAACGATATGAAGGAGAAAATAAAAGTAAATTTGGAATAATTGAATGGAAAATTGATGGGAATCCCGAGACAAAGAATAATATTGATTAAGTCAATAAAGTAAAATTTTGAATACTAACGTGCACTTTTGGTGCCTATTTAAATATTCTGCCTTTGCTGAATAATTATATTGAGTTTTGTGGTTTTTTTTTCTTGGTTTGTTTTTTGATCAGCTTTTCAACTGTTTCTAAAAGCATTATCTCATTTGCCATATTTAATAACTACAATTGATATTTGTTAAATGTAAATATCCTAAATGAAATTCATTGTTAGAAAGATAGCTTTTTTTTTTAGAACCATGAAAAGTCTGTCTCAAACATTAACATCGAACTTTCACTAACTGCCATGCTACTTCGAGTAGAATCCTCGAAAGAGACGTTTATATTTAACGAGTAGTATATGATTCAGGATTGTCTCACTTAGACTGTAATTCCTTAGCGAATTCAGTACGTCGAATAGATACTTCGGAGATTCTATAATCACGTAGAAAATCTACCTAGATGTGAAACATTCGGGTTTATTGAACTTAAAATGTTATACGGAAAGCTCATAATTTCTACATGCTTTATATGTCCAGTGCGCTGATTAGTTGCGCATGTAATATTTATAAAAGATGTGGCGGCATGATGAAAATTTCCGAGCAAACCTAGCATCACCCATAAAAATAATACCGCTGATGTATCTTGTCAATAAAATATAATGTAAATAAGGTAATTTTAAATTGATTACTAAGCGATTCGTATATTAAGAAGTACGTAACAAATATAAATACCAATAAAATGTGAAGTCAGCGGTATTTTTTCTATAGGCTGTTAAAATTTCCGAGATTTTAAATTGTCTATCAATGTTCGTTTTCAAATCGGCATAAAAAATAAGTGGTGATGTTACATAAAAAAATAATTTAGTGTAAGCCATGAATCATTAAGTCTGGTCGGATTCTACTGTATTATTAAGTCATAATTTATTCTATACCAATAGTGATAACATAAATAAAATCGATCTTTGGGTAATTTAAGTCGATAATGAAATCCAGGTAAATGTGTTATGCAACATTTATTTAATAATTTGTTATAATTACAAGTACTTATTTATTACTTTCGTTAGTAAAAATAGGTTCGTTTACTTATACAGTTGATACTGTCTAATTGCATACCATCTGTCAGAGACTTTTTTATGCATATAGACAGTATATGCAATTAGACAGTTATAATAAATCATATGATATATTAATTAACCAATTAAAATTATTTAAATTTTATCAATAATTTGTCTTTAAACATGAATATTATTTTGATCCAGCAGTCTGTTTTGGATAACTTAACTACAAAAATGATCAACTTAATGAGATGATTTTAATAAGCCCAAAATTGGTAAAATCATTACAAGATAGTTAATAAGTTGTATTATTTTATATAATAAATAAAGTAATACAAATTATTAATAATCTTATAATCTTGTAATTGGATATTAATTATTTTGTGCTTATTAAAATTATTACATGAGTTAACTTAATTATCTAAAACAAATCACTAAGTTATTTATGTTTAAAGTTAATTTTTTAAAATATTTATTACACAATTAAGTTGTATTTTATTAATAAAAAATAAAATTGTTTTATGCATTATGCAAATAGAAAAACTATGAATTTATAATTAGTAACTATGTTGGGAAATAAAAATAATATAAAATTGAACAGTGTATGTACATTATAAAAATAATAAGGAATTGTAATTAACTACAGTCAAACCTTAATATAATAACCGGGTTGGTAACCAAAACGCAATGTAACTAAAACAATAGTGCCTATACAGAGGTTAATGTTATGTTTATAAAGGGTGATAAAACTAAAATAAAATTAGTTTTATACTTTGTGACTATATTAAGAGTGACTATATCGAGGTCTGACTGTAATAAAATTAAATTGTATTCGAATTTTTTTAATTAACACTGATTAATTAAATAAAAGTAACCATATACTCGCAAAAAAAAAGTAATTTAAATAATTAAATAATGAGATAACATCTGCAATTTACAGTATGTCAGTATTGCATAAAAATAAAAACCTTGGAAGTAATGCCATATAGTATTATTTTGATATGATGCTGAAAGCCTATATTCAACAGTTACACAAAGTGTTTCGAATTTTTAAATAACTATAACTTTTTATCTAAGAGGTTTTAAAAAATATACCTGATAACTTTATAAAGCTATATTAGCTCTATATATGTACCAAATATCTTCAAAATCTCATTACTGTAAAGAGTTAATGTGTTTTGAAAATTGAAATATTATATATAAATTTATATATAAAATTTCAATTTTCAAAATACATCAACTCTTTATAGTAATGAGATTTTGAAAAAATATGTAAAGCTAATATAGCTTTATAAAGTTACCAGGTGGATTTTTTAAAACCTCTTAGATAAAAAGTTATAGTTATTTAAACTTTTAAAACACTTTGCGTAACCATTAAGTATAGGCCACTCGCATTATATTATCTTTAAAGTCCCAATAACAACGCTGATTTACGGCTGAATTTAAAATTTAAAAACCACTCTAAAAATTTTACCGAAATGTTAAAAAAAATAAATAATACTTTTATTAGTATATTTTTACTATATATACTCAACAATATTTCATTGAAAAATTTATAATAGTTTTTAAATTCGAATTAGCTGTAATTTAAATTGTAAATGCCGCCTAATCTAAATGCCCCGGAATAATATACTCCAATAATATGATACGATATAATAATATAATAATAGTATGTCAATCATTAGTAGTGAAAGTTTGTATTTAAAAAAAAAGAATATCCCAAAATTCTTAAATAAATATTTTCCCTTGGATGATCACAAGTATTCATCTATTAACGAGCAATTAATTAACTCATAAGCTTAAAAGAATTTATACTCATCTGTTATAAAATAGCAACGTAACTAAACGATCCTTATATATCTCACGTCTATTGTTTTGAGATCTGCAATTTCACAAACATTTGGACGTGTACGCGTATTGATATAACTAAGATAAAAAAAAAAAGTGGTACAAACCATTCAATCATAAAGTTAATCGTTATCATATGAATCAATGATATCATCTACGGTTCCCGCATTTTTATTTGTACTTTTTTTGGCTAAGACGTGTTTTTCTCACACCGTGGGATAATTGTGTTACGATCCATAACGCATATATTGGCCAATCAAGTATCCAAAATATAATGCAATATTCCGAATGGTAAGCCTTGATAACAGATACTCCGATATGTGAATAACTAGTAGAACCGATCAGAAGTATGAGGAAATTAGTAAACTCATGAAAACTGGTCTAACAAAATGACAGTTCCGATTAACAATAATTTTTGTCATTTTATAATAACATATTATTTTGATGATTAATCGGAAAATCTTTTAACTTCCAGATCGACATTTTCATGGACCAGTTCTCATATGTACGTATAAAAGATCATTCTTAATATTGAGTATTAATCGATCATATTTTACTTTCGTTAGTTCTCGAAATTTACTTAACCAGCACTGCATCCCTTTATATTTGGGTTTTTTGACCTCAAATCGCGTAACATTGGAACAGACTAATGGCACGTGGCACAGACGATTACTGCGAACAGAAAAATGACTGAATATGCTGAAAATGGCATCTGTCGAAAAAACGGTAAAATATGTTTTAATTAGTTTGACCATAGGGCACCTCTTGACAGCTTACTACCTGAATCCAGAGGATAGGCATCTTTCCTAGCCCAAGTGATAATAAAGAGGCAGCTCTTGACAGCTTACTACTTGAATCCAGGGTATACTCTCCTAACCCTCATTATTTACAACATAATATTTTTTTATCTCAATGTTGTTATAGTGCCTATTTTTATATGTTTTATATTATTGATACCGTATATTATTTCTGAGAGCATCTCACCAGTATTGGGCGAGCGTTATAGAAGTAGGTGAAAAATATATTTATTAGTTCATAACTAAACATAATCAAACTATCAATATAAAACAGTGTAAAAGAGCTTTTCATTTGATACATACAAGTTGTAGCGGTAAATGCTGGTGAAGAAATTGCGAATGAGTTTTAGCCGTCAAAAAATGTCATGTATTGTCCTCTTCCTTATTCGAAAAATAGGATAATGTAATTTCAATACTATGTGGCTTACATTAATAATTGATTTTGCATTTATTGTAGGATTTTGACCATAGAAGTGATAATTTTTTCAAGGGATTATGGAACTGAATCTTTATAGAAGTACTGTACAGTTTTTCGGTCTTGTTACTTTATATTTTAAATCGGTTAAATTTATACTGTATTTATTTGAAATCGATAAATTTTTAAAATCTATAGAATCTCCGATTCTCATATCCTTTTATACCAAGCACAATAATCAAAATCTATGGGCGAATTGAAAATTTTATATGTTGAATCCAGATATGCTTCGGAATTTAGTTGCGGAATTTAGAATTGGTTTTACTGAATTACACCAGCGGTGCTCAACATATTTTTAAGAAATTCATATTTCCACACCTTTTTTTGATATTGCCGCACCTTGTTAATAACCATCAATATAAATTATTATGGTTTGGGTTTCGGTTTAGAATTAGCAGGGTGTGGCAATATAAAAAAAGGGTGTGTAAATATCAATTTACTAATAAAATTTGGGTGTTAGGGTTCTATGTTAAGGGTTCAAATTAGGTATAGGGCAAAGTTTTTGGAAATGCTAAACATTTTTACTCAGAACATCAAACAATCACCACGGGTGCGACTTAGTAAAGCCGATAATAAAAAAACAAAAGCAACAAATGGGTGAGTACATAGCAAAACCATACTTAGAGTATATATAATACATATACTCTAAGCATGGTTTTGCTGTGTACTCACCCAAATATGTTTTATAGAATAAAAATAAAATAAAATTGATTTAATACTGTAATATCACTCCGTATAATAATATTCCTGGGTGAAATTTACCAGAACTATACCAAAAACTATATTTAGAAAAAGTATACATAACAACTCTATACTTCGAACCAGAAGATACCTTGCATTTAGAGAACGGTTACTTAGAAATGCTAACTGTAACAGAGGCAAACATAAGGTTGGTTAAAACTACGTGCATCACGAAGTTATCTTACTCGGACTTGTATAAAAAATTTTTCTGTTGTTTCAGAATCTAAACTCTCCAATAAAATTACCTACCGCTATGTAAGCGCCGATTAAAATTATGTTTTCTGTTTAGTTCTGTATTAAAAATTAAATGGGAAAACGACGCATGAATAAGCTATCATAAGAAAGTTTTTTTTTTGAATGGGATTTATTAACTTCAGAAAGTGCGACTAACGAATTTGACTAGTTTAGTAAAGAACCTTTGTTAAACGGTGCCCCATGTACTCTGTGAACCTTCTTAATATCTCAAAAATCCTACTATGAAGACACCTTTGGAGGTATTAAGAAAAAATGTTTCCCGTGAAATTAACTATATAAATTATACTTTATTCTTACTTCTAGCCTTTATTTGCCCTTACCCTAATATTAAAAAGTTATATTTGTTTTAAGACATCTTATATCGTACTTATTCAATTATTAGTTGCATTGAGCGCATAGGGACACCGTTTAGATAAATGCTTTAGTGAACCCAATTGAATGAATCGTGTTAATCGTAGTTTAGGTGATAGCAATGGCCTTAAGAATTTGATATACTGTATGTTGTATGTTCACAAAAAGTTACAACAGAAATTTTTACTAATCAAATCTATACATAATTTATCGCTAGTAGAAAGTGGGTTATCTCATTCATTCCGTGCTTTGGAAAGATATTTCACTTGCTCTAAACTTTTTTACATCATCATCCCACTTTTTTGATTGGCGCAAATTTTAATTAAGTACTTTTAAGTCATTTCTTCACTGTAAAAAGATTGTAAGCCTTTTTTAAACACAATCAAGCGCCTAAGCGTATATAAAAGAATAATAAGCTGTAAATTTTACTGTGAGAAGGATTTTATAATGACCTAAGTTACATTTAGTAATATATAATGTACATTGTTTAACTCTCGCGATCTTTATCTTTCTTCTAGCTTAATAAATGAAACAATCTTGGTTTGATTGCAGCATTTCTTATAATACTGTAATAGATAATAGATGTAGGAATGAATGTCCATCAACTTCACAGTTTCAAATGTAATTGCATTGGTATTTTTGTTTAATTAAATAATCAACCATACCGGATTTAATGGATTTATTATAATAATTAAACTATGCCGGATTTAATGGATTTAATAATTAAACCATACCGGATTTAATGGATTTATTATAATAATTAAACCATACCGGATTTAATGGATTTATTAACGTTATATTCATTTCCAAATTTATTTGTCCATTATTGTCTTCGACATTATGAATCATTGGTAATTAATATTATTAGAGATGATGAAATTAATCTCACCAATTCAACCAATAGTGGTTAAATTATTTCATCACACTTAGTTTTATTTCACCAGCACCTTTAAAAATATATTATTATAATCCATTTATGAGAACTATTACCGGTTCTAAAAAGATACACATGTACGTATCGGTTTGAACAAGGACCATAAATAATCACATTAATAACAAATACAAATATTTATCTATCATTAACTTCAATAATTTAATAGCATTCAAATTCGCGTGGCAACATAGATGCGGCTATGGTTACACGAGAGAATGAAAATCGACCGGTTGGTAATTTGTGATCATATGTATTGTGAACCCCCAATATCGGTATGTGATATCGGTATGATGTAAAAAAGGCTTATATAATTGTTTTGAGCAAAAAATGTGTTGTCCGATTTTACATAATTCAACCAATTTTTATCTTCTCATTTTGCACTATTACACGAAATTAATATAAAGGTGAGCCTTTCTCTATTTGTATCATGGTGTTAGCAATGCCAAATATCTTCTTGCATAATCAAAACGTTGTAGCATAGTCCAAGTAAGATTATATTGACTTTTATTTTTGAAATTTTTATAAGCAATTGCTTTATTATTAATTGTCGATTTTAAAATTTAAAGTGTATTATTATACTAGTAAAAATCTATGGAAACATTACAAGCGATTGATAATGGTGTAAAGTATACTCGGGAGGAGACAATTATATTAAATGTTGGAGGAATAAAGGTAATTCAAAAAAAAAAAAAAATTATATTGCCTTTATCATTAATAATATTTAAATAAATAACTTTAATGTCTTAAACCACTTAGTATGAAACATATCCATCGACTTTGACTGCTTTCCCTGACACTCTCCTTGGTACAATGTTTCAGGAACGTAATAGATCAATGCTTCATCCTAGGTATGTATAGATGTCATTATTATTCATCATATATCATATATTCTTACTATTATAATGCTATTAATCCTTTTAGGAATGGCAACGAATACTTTATTGATAGAAATGGTTATGCATTTCGATATATTCTTGAATTTTATCGTAATGGTAAAATATTATGGAATGAACGGTCAGATAAAAACACCATTTCTGTCAGCAGAGAAGAATTAGATCAAGAGATTGATTATTTTCAAATACCTATTAAAGATGTTTCATTAGCTTCAGGCGAAAAAACTGTAGCTGCTAAAGTTGATGCTTTTGTTGCTGCTCTCAAGGAATTGATCCATGAAGCAATGGATCAACTTCAAACTGAGATTCATCTGAAATTTTATGAAGATGGTCAACCAGGTTTACAATATTGGAGTCCTGCGTATCGACAAAGTGCCATTGTTGAAAATATTTTGAAACCATTTAACATTGTAGGTTATGTAATTCTGCAACAGTTTGGAGATACAATAGAAAGACATCTTAAATCTGAAATTCCTGAAATATCCTGGCTTCTTAATGAAGGTACTCCTCGATTTCCACCTGATCTTCCACCAGACTTTGATTCTCGTGCTTCATTTATTGGTGGTTCAGGTGGTCCTAATGGAACAATCGGTCCTCTAATAAATAATAATCGTCCTTCACTTTCATCTTTCGCTATTGGACAAAACTCTATCAATAACCAACAAACCAATCTTCAAACCAATATAAATAATAATAGCTCAACCCAACCATTATTTGGAACCTTGGGAAATTTGCTTGCTCAAATAAACACCAATAATCAACAAAATAATATTTCATCTAGTGCTACTACTACTGGACCAGGGATAGGACTGAACCTGTTTAGTAGTGTGACCACCGCTCCTTCTTTTAATCTATTTGGTACTACTACTGGGGTAAATGCGTTTAGTAGAAACCCTCAGACTGTAGTCCAATCAAATGGATTTGGTACATTTACGAATGTTCAAACAACTATTCCATCATTTGGAACGTTCGGATTTAATCAACCGATTATCCAGACTACAAATGATAATAATGGTTTCGGATTCAATTCTCAACCGACTAGTCTGCCATCTTTCGGAAATATTACGAGTATTCAATCTGGAACAACAACATCTTTTGGATATGGAAATATACAACCAGCTTCTACTGCAACTAGTTTCAGAGTTGCTATTACCTCGCCAACATTCACGACTAATAATAACCAACCAAATAGATTTGTTGTTCCGGGTAAGTAAATTATTGCATGGTTGATAATTATTATGCTAATTATTGTTGTAGATTAGATTCATTTATTATAAGAATCCAATATTGTTTATTTAGGAAATTTTACTTTAAATCCAAGGATTACATCTAATGATGATACAGTCTTTCGTCGCCGTCCTCGAAATGATGGAAGATGCCTTGACTTGATTATAAAAATTGTTTACGATTATTCTGTTGCAAATATTTTGGCAAACACTTGTCTTGCTAATGATTAATAATATGTGTGTTAACTTGACAAATGTTTGTCAATTTTTTTTTTTTATCAACACTATCACAGAATATACAAAATAGGTTCATAAAATCATATGTATATTTCATAAATACTCCAATAAATATGTAAATATGCAACATATTTTAAAAAACATAATAAAACCCAATATTTTAATATGTAATGATTGATTATATTATCTACGTAAATGACACTTCTATGGACTGCATACATTTAATTTACATAACTAGTTTTCGTTAAGGTATCCAATAGAATAGAAATTTTTTGAATGATTTGTTGATTTTCATAATAAAGCTATATATTAAAAATTTGTCCACTTAGTAATTATATCTCAAAAGAATATTTTAGAAATGCACTTGGGTTCAATAGTATCCACCATGAGTCCTCATTTGCGTGTTATTTAAGGCGCGCATGTTCGATATTTCGAATCATTTAACACAAATACTTGATATAACAAATATATAGTTTTGACAATCAATATATACACTTAGTTTCATTATGTTGTAAATGAATTATTTTTTGCACATACTATATTTTTATTAATAGTTAAAAAGTCACAACCAGCAAAAACCTAATAAGAAAACTATATATAATCTTGATGAATTATCATTATTTCGCTTTAGTCAATCCAACCTAACATAAAAAAGTCATTAGTTACATAATAAAGTTTCAAATAAAAATAAAGCAATTCAAAAAAAAGGACAACCCATAATATTTTGGATATCATAAATGAATAGAATTTACGTAGAAAGACATCACCTACTACATACAGAATAACTTTTAGAAGTGTTTGGATTCATGGTTCCAATTACATAAAATAAAAAATACTCACTTATCCAAATAGGACCCAACGGTTCAAGAATGTCAAACGCGGAAATACATTGGTTTTGAACTAGGATGAACAATCAAAACATATTCAGAACCCTTCAAAGTAAATGATTTGCTATTGAATTACATGCTGGAATTAGGTAAGGTCACAAACAACTATATATTGACAGCAAAGTTTTTCTTGGCATCAATCATTTATGTTCCGGTACCAATTGCTGCATCAGTTTCATCCATCTCAACTTCTCCAGAAAAAACAATTTTTTCTAATTCAACTTCCCAGTAACCATTTCTTCTAACTGGAACCCAGCGAATGGGTTCAGCAATATGAGATTCATTAATACCAGTGAAATTCAGTTCGTTACCAATACTGTAGTACTATCTTTATCAGCATCATTAAGCCAAACTGAAAAAAATGTTGTTTCAATAAGTTTACAATTTATTGTATGGTAAAAAGGAGGAATAACATCTTTAACAGCAATGTTATCATTGCCTTTAAGAGTATTTTGTAAATGAATAAACGTTACGTATATAATACAATATAGTAATGAGAATGATAAAAAAAAGCTTACCAAATCTTAGAATATCATCGAAGAGGCCGAAAGTAAAAGCCAAGCCAGGTTCTTTAATAGATTCACAAAAATCCTGATCCATAACCTTAATATTCACTAATTGTAAAATATCCTAAAAGAAAGATTCATTGTTAAAATAATTAAACTTTCGAAATTTAAGTAAAGAAACTTACACTACTAATAATTCCTTTCAAACTTTCAGAACCACTATAATTGAATTATTATCAAGATTTGTTTTTTTTTTAAGTATTCATTGTTTACGATCTTAAATAATAATTTTAGTATTTTCTTAAATGGTTACAAATCGATTGCTATTTCATATACTCGCATCCAAAGACACCCCTTGCTGTATACCATCATATTTGTGAATAACTATTTGGCTTGCAGTTTCGGATTTTTTTTATTATCATTCTTAGGTGAAAATGACGTTA